CTGGCCTCAAGCAGTCCTTCCACTTGGTCTCCCAAAGTGCCAGGAATAGAGGTGTGAGGCACTGCACCTGGCCAAAAGGGTCTACTTTTAACAGAAATGAAAGAACTGGGGTTTGAGAAAGGACAAAGGGAAAAGGAGAGATGGTCCTGGGGTGGGAGGGAAGGGTCCTGGTGGTCTCACCGTGAGAGCAAGGCAGTGCCGGGCACAGGCGGCCTTATGCAGTGCTGTCATGCCATCCCGGGCCCGGAAGTCAATGTGGGCCCCACCCAGGCACAGGGTTCGAATCACCTCTACGGAGCCTTCAGTCTGGGCCGCCAGGGTCAAGGGGGTCTCTACAGGGCGAGAAAAGCTGGTCACATGCAGACTCCTGGGCTCTGGCCTTGACCTTCCCACTTCCCAGATGTCACATCTGTCTTCCCCCAGCTCTGGCCTGGAGGCCTCCCAGTCAGGAGAGTAATATGTTGTCACTGATACCAGTAAGGAATGATATGAGTGTAGACAGCATTCTTGGCTCCATGGACCCATGGTCATGGGCCCTTTGGTCCACCATGATGTGTGCCCCCTCCTTACCTCCAGAATCCGAATCATGGTAATTGGGGTCCAGCCCCTTGTCTAGCAACCGTGCCACCTTGTCGGACGTCCCAAGCTGCACGTATTCCAGGAATTTCTTCAACCCCGTCTGAGTCATAGACAGAGAGAGAAAGAGAGAGAGGACAGGACCTTCAGGAAGCAAGGTAGAGAAGCCAGGGTCTCCAGCAGCAAGGTGTAGCAGAAATATACATGGAGCCCCAAATGCCACTTATAAGTTTCTAGCAGTCACCTTGAAAAAGAAAGGAAGGGGATCTGTCAGTTGTGCTGAAATTCATTTAAACGATAGATGCTCTTTCACTGATAGTTCCACAATATTACTGTTTCAACAGGTGATCCAGAGGAAAATTATTAATAACATATTTAACTTTTTTTTTCTTGGTACTAAGTCTTCAAAATCCTGTGTGTATTTTACACTCACAGCAAATTCAGTTTGGACCTGTCACACTGCAAGTACTTGGGAGCTGCATGTGGCCAGCTGCTCCTAAAGTGGACAGGGCAAGTCTGGAGAGATGGAACACACTCTCCAGGGGGGAAACAGTGGGATGTGTGGGTGGTGGGGAGAAGGGGTGGGTAAAGAGGGCTCAGGAGGCTTTTCTGCCCAAGGGTCAAGAATCTTTCACCTCTGACCAAAGCAGTCCACCAACTTCTTCTGAGTGACTACCTAGGTGAGCAGGGGAGGCAAAGGTGAGATATGGTGTGATGACTGGAGGGCAAGGTGCCAGGCAGCGTGCCAGGAGGTAGATATGGCTGGAGAGGAGGGACCATCCTTAGATTTGGTAGAGATTTAGGTTATGAGACTGGGGGAATTGCTGGGTGCCTATGAAATAGTTATTAAGCAGAAGGACCCTGGATGACAGGGTCCAAAGTCAAGATGAGGAGTACAGAGAAAGCAGAGGGGTTTGGGGAGGATTCAGAGGAAAAGAAGGAGGAATCCGAGAAGCCAGTTCAACATGGTGTGGGCCTAGGCAGGGCAATGAGGGGCAAAGAAGGGGTAAGGAAGTGTTGCAACAGCAACAATGGGGATATTTGGGGTTGTCTCAAATGTGATACAAGTGGAACTGGGGGACAGAGCAATTAGGAGATGTGGAGGGCTGTTAGGAAGAGGTGGGAGAGAGAATGTGGGCCTGGTAGGAGTTACAGGTGGTGGGGGGGCTGTGGGAAAAATGCCAATAGGATCCTCTCACCTTGGTGTGCAACTTGGCCAGCTGCTTCTCATCCAGGTTGGTCTGTTTGTAAACTCGGGTCTTGTATCGGAACTGAGGCAGGGTGGGGGAGGGGGAGAGACATAGAGACTTGGAATCAGGGGCCTGGGGAAGAAGCTTGAGCTGAGGGGGAGGGTCCCAGCCCCTTCTAATCCTTTGGGGTCAGCTCAGGGTTGGAGAGGAAATAGCCCTGGAGCTTGGATGGGCTGGAGGAGAGAGCTGGGTCATCGTGGTGGTGTATGTGCACTGCAGTCCCAACTTGAAGGAGTCTGGACCTCATAGGGAATGTTCTAAAATGCCTGCTGTAATTGGGAGTTCTTCCCCAGCTGCCCAACTGGACAGATGAGGAGAAGCTTGGGGCAGGGAAGTGACTTGCCCAGGGCCACTCTGACTCTTTCCCAAGATTCTTAGGAGGTCTGAAATAGCCCACTGGGTTCTTCCTTGTTAAGGTTTTGGGATAAAAACAGGGGGTAGGGGGTGTCAGATGTATTGCCCTCCCTTGTCAGTGAAAGGTTCAGGAGAGCTATGGGCCTCACCTCCAGGTAGGGCACCCCCTTCTCAAAGGACTGGGGGTACTCCCGCAGCAGCCGCTCCTCCTCCAGGAAGTTGGCATCACGGCCTGAGGTGGCTGGCTGGAACAGGCCATAGTTGAGCACATCCTGCAGGCTCTCACTCAGGGCACAGAGCACCTGCTGCTTGGCTGTCCAGATGGTGGCATCAGGATTGAAGCGCAGGCATTTCTGGTGGGGGGAAGAGCTAGTCAGTGGCTAGGGCAGGTCAGGGGTCAGGGAGGAGTCTAAGATGGGATGGAAAGGGAGCAGAGAGCTGGGGGTGGGGGGATTCTGGGGAGAGAAGGGGAGATGGGGAAGCTTGTAGAAATGGGGCCAAAGGGCTTTCTGGGAGGATGCTAGGCCTCCTCATGCCAGCTGGGGCCCGTGCCGTGCCCCCTCCCCCTTCACCCCACCAGCCAGTAGGTGGTCACTCACTGTCTGGTGCAGGTCCGGGATGCCAATCCTGAAGACCATCATGCTGAAGTGGGCGTCGTCAGGGACAGACATGGAGCGGCCCTGGAGGCCTCTGACTGAGGCCAGGTTACCAGGTGTCCCGCTGCCCCGGCCCCGGGTCCCCCGGAGGCCTTGCCCTGGCCCGTCTGGGGAGCTGTCGGATTCTGAGCCCCCCTCGGGACACTCGCTTGCGCTGTGGCGTTCCTCTTCCTCGCTTGTCGCGGGGCTGTGGGTCATTGTGGGGCCACGGGGCGACGGGGGACGGCAGCATCACAGGCGGCTGCAGGGGCAAGAGTGGCCCTCAGTCTAGGAGCCCAGGACCCCTCAGAGGTCACAGGCACTACTCAGCAGACAAGGTAGACAAGTGGTCAAGGATAGCCTCCCCTTACTGCCAGAGAGAGGCAGAAAGGAGGCTGGGCACACCCTTAGACCTGCTGTCTCCTGGTTTGCAAGCACACATCCCTGTTCTGACACGCTTCCTGCACGTGTCTCCTTCCCTGCCCTTGGCCCTGCTTGCAGCCCCCCGCCCCCCTAGCGCCCCACTTTGCCGCTGACCCAGCGTGGCCGTGTCCCAGAAACCGCAGAATCACCGCGGGAGCTACTGGCCCACTTTGCCACGCCACAGAAAATGCAGCTAAAATTAGCTAAGGACAGACAGGTGGACCAACCGACAGCCATCTTGCCCTCCTGGCCCCAGCCTGGCTCTTCACTCAGGGTGGGGGACTGGGGCTGAGGTATAGTAAGGGGAGATGAAGCATAGTGAGCAGGGGCAGCTGGAGTATGCCTGGGAGTGGTGAAGCTGGTGACTTTACTCAAGTGTGTCTGACAGTGTGTACAAAGAACTGCCAAGGAGTGGCCACATCAGGGAGCAACGGGCACTAAGATAGGGGTGCCAAAGGCAGAGCATTTTACCTGGGGTGTTCCCAAGGGAACCGCAACAGGTAGCCTGTGGAGGTTGTAGGGACATCTTGAGAGGGCAAATAGGTGGTGGGGAGGCTGGCCTGGGGAGGACTTTCCAGGGAACAGCAATGTGGAAACCTAGGCTGGGGTGGGGCTGCTGTGGATGACCTGTGGGCCTCTGTCAGATTGGTGCTGGGGGTGGGGTGGTGGCATTGCCAGGTGCTGGTAGTTCCATTCTGAGGACTGTGGGGCTGGGCGGGAGGCTGAGAGGTGAGGTGAGGTCTGGAGACTGGGGTGCTGGTCATCTCCTGAAGCCTGCTGTTCCCTGAGGTGGCCTGATGAGGGTGGGTCCCTTCCAAATGGGGTCCACCTCCTTCCTGTTCTCCCCTACTCCCACCCCAGCACCGGAAACCAGAATGTCTGGTCTGGTCCCTCCCCCCCACACCAGGCCTGGCTCCTGCACAGTTGCCATGGAGATGGGAAGCAGCAAGGGTACTGCTGACTTTGGGGGAGTGGGGATGGGCTAGGGGGTTGGGGAAGGGAAGATTAAATGTGTGTGTGGGGAGAGGAGTTCCAAGAGCTGTGGGCGAGTGAGCATCTAACCAGCGGCCGGCCCCTCCCCCACGCGTGGCCAGAGCTTGGAAGCCCCCTCCCCCTCCAGGTACCCAGCCGCTCTGCCCCACCTTGCCCTTGGAGACCCCGCCTCCTTCTCACCCCTCTTTCTGCCCTATCCCACATCCCACCTCCCGATCTGGGGCCCGCAGCCACTCCCCCTCGGGTGACCCTGGCTGACCCCCCCAGTACCAGTCGCGCACGGACCAAACCGGGTAGCCGGTGGGATGAAAGAAAATCTGGCCCCGGCCCCCCGCGAGCACGGCTGCCCCAAACCTCGGGACCAACTCCGGCCCCTCCCCCTCAGGCCTCGAGGGAGGGAGCGGGCACACTCCGCCGGGGCGGCATGAATCAAACGCTCCGCGGCTAAGAATAGCTGGCACGCAGCTGGTACTGAGACCGGCTGAGGAATTGGCTGGGGGGGGGCGGTGGAAAAGGGAGAGAGGGGGTGCCCTGGGAGCCTGTGAGGGGACAGGGGGTGGCTGGCGTGGCTGGGCCGGGAGAATGAATGGAGGCGGAGGAGGCGGGGAAAGAGAGCCCGGGCGGAGGCCGGGAAACTGGTGGGGGAGAGCCCCGGGCCGGGAGAGGAGGCGGGGGCACCCAGGAGCGGGACTGGGGGCGGGAGTCGAGGGGGTGCGCCGGCCGGCAGAGAAGGGACTGGAGACGGGTGGGGATGGTGAGAGCTTGGGTAAGGGGTGGGAAGAGACTGGGGGAGCCTGGAAAGAGTAGCAGCTAGAGGGGGTCAAAGGGGGCGGAGGAGGCCAAGGCCTAGAACCCCGTAGGAGGAGGGTGGGCGCAAGGGTGACCTGGGGGAGGGGCCCAGGTGCGCTAGGGTGGGCGAGGCGGGGGAGTGGCCGGGCAGCGCCAGGAGGCTAGTATTGCGACCCAGCCCTTTGCCCAGACGAGCCGGGAGGCGGGTTCGAGCTGGGGGCTCTACTGGCAGGAGATGGGGGCTACACTCCCATCAAGGTTTCGATCCGAGACGGGGCACCGGGGACTTGGGTGTAACCCAATTTGGTGTCGCCTGGGGCAACCTTTCTTCTCCTCACTCGCACCACCCACTGCACACCCAGGCCCTGGCCGACGCTGGGCCAAGGACATCCGGGGCGCCCCCGCCCCCTCCCGCGGCCCCGACCCCAAGCTCCCCCCAAACCCTGTGTTCCAAGTCCCCTTACCTGCCTGGCGGGGCTGCTGAGTCCCGGTCGGCGGCGCCCGC